TCTCACCAAAAATGATTGACAAGACGATGACTTTTGAGGTCTGATTAACAATGTTAGGATAAACAAGTATGGTAGCCCATGCATCACGCGAGCATTTATCGTAGGCTGCGTTTAAGAACGGATCATGTTGGTGTTTGCATTATAATTTGGCTTATAGCTAGTTTTATTTGCATAGGCCAGATTATTTGGAATAGCTGGTGTATTTTTGATTGGTTTACTGGAAATATCAGCATGGGATTGGATCATCTGAGTTTCATGTCACTGCAGTAAAAGAAACCATGTGCTGTTCTGTTTTGCTGGATTTTGCTGCAGTCGAGGAATTTCAGTGTGGAGAAGAAATTTGGTGTGAAGCTTGATGTATCGTGGTGGAGCAGCTGATTGGCTGCTGCCTAGCCTGCTGGAATTTTATCCCTTCTTGCTTGCAGAAGCCGTGCCATGGGAGGCTGGCGCATGACCCACGCTGCAGAGAACCGGATGACCGAGTCGAGGACACGTTGCCATGCACAGCGTCTGTTGCGGCGAAGGAAGAGAGGATATTTTGGTAGTTAATTAATTTAGATTAAATCGTATTAGTTAATTCACTTGAGTTCCCATACGTGGGGCTTGTAGGTCCGGTGCTTAGGTCTTCTCTCTATATATATACCAGGGTATTAGATCATATTAGAACCCCGAACACAATTTCAATCTACTATTCTTCTTGTTCTTTACTTTTCCGTTATTTTCTATTTTACTTTCATGGCTGAGTTCAGGAACCCTAGAATTTGGTTAATCTTTGCTGTTTTGCGCTGAAAAACGGTCATGCTTCTCCACGAAAGCGAGGAGGTTATCCTTTGCTAGTTTGCTCGGAAACTAGTCGTTCGTCGTTATGTAAGTACGATATTATCTTCTTTACTAATTTGCTCGTAAATTAGTCATGTGATTCCACGAAAGTGAATTAATCTCGAAATCGGTTCCACTAGCCGATTTTGATCTATCGATTTTGGCGACTCTATTGATTACACCGCAAATCGTTAGGTGATCTCGTGTTGGCCATAAAAAACGTCAACAATAGGCTGCGTTTGACAACGGATCATATTAGTCGTGATGGACCGTGCGAGGCCATATAAAGCTACAAGGAGCCCTCATCAATCTTTGAAGAATATATGATGAAACTGTTTTGACGTTGGTATCTCTTAAGACAAATAAAGGAAGATGGCATGAAGGCATTCTTATTGGTATAATTTGTTTCCTGTTTATATTTGTGTATAGGAATGTCGTATTATTAATAGGGAAGCAACTTCAATGTGTTTGTGTTTGACTCGGTACTCAAAGTGACCTATCCTACTGCTACCTTGAGTGAAACCCAAGTTTTAACCTATCCTTTGAGTGGTTATAGACCTTCCTTTTGGATGAGTTGGATAGTTATCTGAGTAAGCTTTTCATAGAGTTCAGGATCATCAAAAACGGACTTCCGAGCAAAAAGTTATGGGTGTTTCGCTCTCTGGGGTTTTTTGTAATTTCGGAACTTGCAAAAAATGGAATCTTTGTCTCAAAAGGTTATAGACTTGTCTGAAAATGCATCTCGGAACTTCCAGTAATGGAATTTTTGTCTCAAACGGCTAATTTTGAGGTGCTCAGGTATATAAACCCCTTCATCCCCTTATTGAGTGGCTGATGTTCTTGCGAAACATTAGACACATCCAAAACCAAATAGCCTTCATCATTTCCTTACCTTTGTGGTGTCACTTTGTGAGAGGGATTTGAGAAGAGGAGAGAGTTGGATTGAAAGATTGAGAAATTGAGAGCTATTGAGCTTTACTCCATACTTTGAGCACTCGATTTCATAGCAAGCAAATGTTCGATTGTGTTTGTTATTTTTGGGAACTGAGTTTTCCTAGATGGCTAGGCTTCGCCGGTGAGCACCCAAGATTGTGGTGTGACTCAGAAAGTTTGTGAATGTTTTGATTTCGTTTCCGCAAAGGAAGAAATCAAGAGTGAAATCGAGAAGTGCATTTGTGCAACCTCGTGAGGAAAGGGTTGAAATAGACCTAGCCTTTGTGGCCCCTCAACAGAGACGTAGAATCCGTGGATCCGAACTTCGGGAAACAAATCACATGTCTCCTCTCTTGGTTTGTTGGCGGCTGTTAAATGCCATTTTTATGCCGTCAATACGTGCATAAATCAGAAGTTATAAAACATCCAATATAGTGGTACGACTTAATTCGAACAATTTCCACGAGTGTTGTTGAATAATTGTATGCATGTAATAAACCACCAAAGTTGAGAGAAAATACAAACAAAAATCCATCGATGATTTGGGCTCATCAACTCATCGAGACATCAGAAAGTGGGCCCAATCAACACACCATTGGGCTTAGGAGACAAACATCTAGGCCCAGGAGGAAGCCCACAGGCTGAGGGGTACGCGAGGGTTCGGCCAAACCCTAGGATCAGCCAAACCGCCATCATGCCTCCTCGCCATCTGCTTCCACGTGGACGTCCAGGATTACCTCCCAATGATGGTTACGGTGCATTTAGAACAATTCCAACCGCTACAAGCCACATTATCAGCCTATAAACGGAGCTCTCGTTCTCCATTCTGACACACACCAAATTCGAGATGAATTACAAGGGGCTCTATTGTATTTTTACGTACACTAGATTAGGAAGAGAGTAAGGAGAAATAGTCAGAGAAATTCTGGAGTTGTCGGTATTTTCCTCTTTGCTTTTTGTACCTTGTTAATTACTCTACTTTAATAGAAATATCTTTTCTGAGTAATTAAGATATACTTGTGAGAATTACCTCTAAGTTAGTTCCTATTAGCGTACTAGATCATTGTTAACTATTGCTCATTTATAAATAGTGATTACTTTGGTGAGTTACAAACACAAAAGTAGTAATTAATTGTATAGAGGCGGTGTCTAGGTTGTTAATTTCCAATGATTGCTGCATATCCCAAAGATCGCTAGAGGTTGGTGTAGAGGTAGTGACAGCCCTCAAAATTACCGCAATCCTCCCTGTCTGGGTACGGAATAGAGCGTGTTCTGGTAGCAGCGAGCGAGCTAGAGCCTAAAGTATTGCGATAGGATTAAATAAGCTTTTCGTGGACACTATTTCCTACTAAGAAATCCTCTCTATCATTTGCCTATTTCTGCCTTGTGCCCTTGGATGAACCTGGAAAAGAGCTGAGCATACACGTTCCCTGTGGAAATCGATACCTTGAAATACTCCCAGGTGAAGTGCTACATCGGTATATCCGTGTGCTTGCGGATTTTATCTGTGACTGTAAGAAATACCAACACTTAGATACCTTGTTTGTCACCTTTTGATTCATTTGCATTTTGTTTGTTGGAGCTACAATTTCATAGGCAGTGTTTTATTTTGTTATCCGCTGAACTTTTTGTGGAGACCAAAATTTCCAATTCCATATCGGAAGCTCTGATTTGAACTGAAAGTTCTTATCATTGTAATATGCTATGAAGTTGTGATAAATTTTAGGAACGCATATTCATCCCTCCTATAGGCGACATCAAGGTTCTTTAATTTTGAAAAAATATAAAGTTGCATTTTGTGCGAGTTCTTTATTCAATGTTTTGTGTGAAAAAGGATTAATCAACACAAAGATATATTGGTTTCTTAAAATTACTCAAAGTGCATTTTGAAATTAATCAACATAGTGTTGGACTTAATTCTAACAATTCCCACGAGTGTTAGTGAATAAATGTATGTAATAAACCACCAAAGTTGAGAGGAAAGACCATCAAAAATGGAGGAGAATTCTATCCTAGAAGATTTGGGCTCATAAACTCATCGAGACATCAGAAAATGGGCCGAATGACAAACACTATTGGTCTCAATGACAAACACCAAGGCCCAGGAGGAAGCCTATAGGCTGAGGGGGAAGCAATTAAATAGGTTGTGTTGAGCGTATAGAGAATCTTGTGAAATCTCATTAGTTACTTTCTTGTTCTAAGTGTCACAGGAATAAATGTGTTTTGATTGATTGTCAAAATTATACAAATTTGACCAAAAAAAAGTTTCTTATATGAAAAGTTCTTTGGAAAAGTTTCTCTATGGTAAAAAGAAACTTAATATGATTTTGGATCAATCAAAAGTGAGCACTTATAATCGTGATGTAGGTTTGATATTAATTCTTATTTTACAAATCAGCAACTTATTGTTATTGTTCTGAACAAAACTAAAAAGGTGAAGTTTTGACAAAACCTGAACCAAAGCACGCTGTTCAATTTTCTAAGCACGCTGTTGACAATGAAACGACTAGGCACATATGGTGTAAATTTTCTAAGCACGCTGTTGAATTTCCATTTTTTTTTCTTCTAGTTACTTTGAGTAGGGAGTTTCCTCGCAAAAAAATAATCATCTGCATTTATTGCAGAGAGCGACGAATTTAACACCAAAATGTCTCTTTTGCCATACTAAAATGCATTATTTCACTGATATATAGGTACTACATCCATTTTATAATTTTGCAACTACTAACTATGTATTTGGATAAAATATATTCAGAATATAGACAAAAGTTAATCGGAGATAGTATTCGGGTGCGCTACAGTTAATCTGAAGCACACTTACTAATTAGATCAAACTTAGGATATTGAATCTAATCTGAACGCTGTAGCTCTGTGCGGTAAGGATCCAATTCCGTTTCTTACTTGCATCCTTATTTGATCCAAGTTCACATACTTACGGAGTGAGCGATGATCCGATGCTATCTACCGGTGATAGATCTGAACTGTTCACTATTATTAAGAATAAATTAGTAATTTACTAATATATTGATTAGTAATTTGTTAATATAGTGATTAAAAGTAACTTTTGTTATTTTATGTTTTTCACCCTATCTAGGTCGATTTGTGGTCATCCATTCTACAGGCATTGCTCATGTTGCATCCAAATAAACCAAAGAAAGAGAAAACAAGTTTAGTCATGGCTAAATAACGATTATACCCATCCATATTTTTTTTAACAATAACACGCTTCACATTTCTACCAATAGATCTAAATACTTTCATCATATGGGTTGGGTGAGGGTGCGCGTGTTGTGAACGTTGATTGCTTTGACCGATGCATTGAGTTGTGTGTTTAAAGGTCAGGCTTGAAGGAGTCTATGGTTGGTGCTGCGAAATCAGTTAATCTTTTACCTCTTGTCATAAATTATTTTCCAGTCATTATTTTGGTTACCTATGTGATTCATCTACTTTATATATTCACAGAAGCCAACAGTTTTGGAGTTATCACTTCAGATAATGGAGATGCATCAGAGTATCACATCAACACTTTGTGGTTGTCAATCCAACACTTGTTATCTTCACAACAGATAAGACAAGGCTATTTTCCTTTTGTTAAACAAATTTTACTGTTTCTCGCTGTATTTCAAAACGAATATAGTTTAATATTTGCACATATGGATTTCTTAAGTAGTTAAAACTGTAAAGGTGGAATTTCTGAAGTAGGTATAGGTAGAGTGGTGGACCGTCTCATTTGTCTGACAGTGCACAAATTTCCAAAGTGGCCAAGTCAAATACTGGGGCAAAAAACAAAAAACCAGTCAAATGATGCCACTGATGAAAACTGCAAGGTTATAAGTAGGTAATCAGATAGCTTAGCTTCACAAAAGAGAAGAGAAAGAAACTGAATCATGGCCACCAACTCCAAACAGAGTGTGCATATGAATCCAGGGCAAGGTGAAACGAGCTATGCTCAGAACTCAGCACTTCAGGTATGCTTGTGTTTAACTCTTAAATGCACAAACTTAGGCTATGCATGATCACCTAATTTCTCTTATGTGGAATTTATTGGTGTACTGACTAGATGAAGAAACCATATGGTCGCCTTAGATGCGTCGGTACGGTGTTGTAAGGCACCGGTTATGAAGATCACCGTGCGGCGACGGCGATGGGAATTCGCCATTCGTTCCCCTTCAACACACCTTAAGATCGAAAGTCTGAGAGTTTTGGTTTTGGCTAAGCCGTAAATCGATCGTCGCCAATGAACGGGTAACGTTCCCTTTATATGTTTGTGCATTGAGGGGATCGTGGGCGAGTCCGTTACGTAGATAGCGCGTCCGATCATCGCACAAGAGAGAGAGCAATGTGCACTCGAGACCGAGGGAATCGGTTCTCATCGTTAGGCGCGAGTGGGAGTGGGGTGGACCAAGCCCATTGGCGCAAATCTCTGACTCGGTGGCCAGAGATGCTTGCTCTTTCTTCAAAGTGCTATACCGGCTTCTTATGATTGTCGAAAGTTGAGGGCGTTGCCTCATTTCTGAGTATTACATGCCTTGTACTAATTCGTCATCTGAAGGAACTGACAGTAGCAGATTATAAATGAATTGAATCATTGAAATAAGAACCAGTCAAGGCAGAATTTGTACTGATCAGATATTTTTGTTTTTATAAAAGGTCTATTGTACAAAAATTGATGACAGTTTGATATTTGCCAAAAAACAGAGAAATGGATTTATTTTGGTCATAATGCAATCTTATTCACCTGTTTTTGACAAAATAAGGAAAGGAATTGCCATTAATATGGTGGAAGCTAATTTTAATGGCCTAAATGTTTATATAAAAATGATCGGCTGAATAGCTAATATGGTCTCTGAAGTTTTGCTTGGGCTCAGTTTAGTCCTCGGAGTTTCAAATCATTCAAAAAAGTTCTCCAAATTAATCATTTGGGTTAATATAGTCCTTGAACTCAAAAAAGTGTCCCTTGAGCATGCCATGCCAAGTCATCCTGCCATGCAGCGGTATGAATGAAATGACCATTCTATCCTTATATACCATATAAAAAAGAAAGAAAAGAAAAGAAGACAAATGTTTCACAGGTGTATGATCGTTTTAGAATTGTCACTTACGATTGCTGTAGTCAAGCACCGATCGTTGGGCCTCGGCTAGCCTGTTATTTTTTTCTATTTGTGTTTTTTCTTTCTTTTCTATATATTATATAAGGTTAGAATGGTCATTTTATTCATACCGCTACATGCGAGGATAACTTGGCATGCTCACGTGATATTTTTTTGGTCCAAGGATTATATTAACCCAAATAATTAATTTGGAGGACTCGTTTGAACGATTTGAAACATTGAGGACTAAATTGAGTCCGAAGTGAAACTTAAGGGACCGTATTGGCTATTTACCCAAAATGATCATATAACTATGTTTACTTGGGACAATTTTTTTAAGAACTAGGTGAAACCCCGCGCATTGCTGCGGGAATTTAGTATGAAGATATACATTGAAACATTATGTGAATTATGTTAGATGATAATTTAACATATTTGTGTTTGAAAAGCTCTTAAATTATAAAAACTATAAAGATATAGCATGCTTGCATGATGTTTAAATGTGATGATTGTTAGTGGATGATGATGTGGCATCTTGTTAATTAGTGGATGATTATATGGCATCTTGTTAGTGGATGATTATGTGGCATCTTTGCATATTAAGCTTAAGGAGTTAGTGGGGGATAAGTTTATAGTAAGCTAGGATATGCTCACTTGTTCAAATTAAATACTCCAATTTTAATGTAACGGAATATTGCACCATTTTTTCGAACTATGATACTAGATGCATCGAGGTATGTTCGAGATAGGAGAATTTTTACAATACTTAAGAGATACCAAGAGATATTAAAATTTTTAGTTGAAATTTGATACCTCTTGCTACTGGAAGTATTGAGAGGACCAAATTTTATATAAAAAATATGATACTTGCAGGTACCTTCTCAAGTATTATAAAATCACTCGCTAAATAGAGTCAGCTTGAAGGTTGTGTAAAAAAAATGGGTTTCACATGGAACCAATCTACCTAGTTGTCTGACTTGAGCGCATATAAATTTTATAATTTTGATGTTTGACAGTTTAACTTGGTGCATTCATATTTTGGGTGTGTTTAGTTCACGCTAAAATTGAAAGTTTGGTTGAAATTGAAGCGATGTGACGGAAAAGTTGGAAGTTTGTGTGTGTAGAAAAGTTTTGATGTGATAGAAAAGTTGGAAGTTTGAAGAAAACTTTTGGAACTAAACTCGGCCTTCATCATATTCCCAGTTGGTAACTCTATCCATTGACGGCTGTGTTTTGTTCCACGCTAAAATTGGAAGTTTGACTAAAATTAGAAGTTTAAAGGAAAAAGTTGGAAGTTTATGTGTGTAGGAAAGTTTTGATGTGATGGAAAAGTTGCAAGTTTGAAGAAAAGTTTTGGAACTAAACTCTGCCTTCATCATATTCCCAGCTGGTAACTCTATCCATTGACGGCTGTGTTTAGTTTCACATTAAAATTAGAAGTTTGACAAAAATTAGAAGTTTGAAGGAAAAAGTTGGAAGTTTATGAGTGTAGAAAAGTTTTGATGTGATGGAAAAGTTGAAAGTTTGAAGTAAACTCGGCCTTCATCATATTCCCAGCTGGTAACTCTATCCATTGACGATTGTGTTTAGTTCCACACCAAAATTAGAAGTTTGACTAAAATTAGAATTTCAGAGAAAAAAGTTGAAAGTTTAATTATGTGTGTAAAAAAAGTTTTAATCTGATGGAAAAATTGGAAGTTTGAAGAAAAAATTGAAAACTAAACCCCGCCGTAATCTGAAAATCATCATACTACACCCACCCTGCATTGTGTGGCCAAAAAAGCCAACTATTTCAATGTTTACTTTGCTTGCTTGCAAGATCTGATTGAGACATATCTGAAAATAATTTGCACGCAGAAAACAGCCCAGGATAGGATGAAGACTCTGATAGAGGAGGCAGTCACAGGCTTATGCACAAGCTCATGTCCTCACCCAAAGAACATGGTGATCGCGGACTTGGGCTGCTCCTCCGGACCAAACGCGCTCACGCTCGTCTCTGCCGCCGTCGACGCCATCCACCGCTACTGCGCGCAGCACGAGCAGCTGCCGCCGGAGATGTGCGTGCTCCTGAACGATCTGCCTGACAACGATTTCAACGCCGTGGCGAAGAGCTTGGACACACTGAAGCACAGTGGTGATGAAGCGCTCGCTCGCCCTACTGCTGTGATCACCGGTATGGTACCTGGGTCGTTCTACGAGAGGCTATTCGCTCGTGGCTCCTTGCATTTGGTTTGCTCGGCTAACAGCTTGCATTGGTTATCCGAGGTAAGTACTGCCTCCGTTTTTTAAATATATGATACTGTTGACTTTTTAACAAACGTTCGATCATTCGTCTTATTTAAAATTTTTATGTAAATATAAAAAAAATTAAGTAATACTTAAAAAAACATTTAATGATAAATCAAGTCACAATATAATAAATGATAATTACATAATTTTTTTTAATAAGATGAATTGTCAAATGAATCTCAAAAGTCAAATGGCGTCGTATATTAAAAAATGGAGAGAGTAACTAATTGTGTTGATTACCCATCCATGTATGGAGGGGGTATGTTTTGATTTCTGTAAGTAGTGTGCATTGTAACTGCAGGCACCTGAAGATCTCAAGAAGAGTAGAATCCCGATGCATGATAGTGATGAACAGTTGAGATCATCAAGGCATCAAATTGTCGCGGATTCTTATGCTCGGCAGTTTAGGAAGGATTTCATGCGATTCTTGAGCTTGAGGGCACAGGAGATTGTCCCTGGAGGCCGAATGGTTGTCTCACTGTTGGTCAAGCGCTCGGACAAACCTGACACTGAGTTAATTCAACCATGGACGCCGGCGGTGACGGCTTTAAGTGACATGGCATTAAGGGTGAGTTGACCAATTTCGGCACATACCAATTCAGTCTTATGTTCGTGTTTTCCAATCACATATGACACAAGCACACACATAATCTCTTTGGACTGCTGTTCCCTTGTTGCTTCTGATTCATCTACCTTTTTCTTCAAGCTCTTATTCGCAAAAAAACAAAAACAAAAACAAAAACAAAAGGACACAAGCACACACAAGATGTCTTTGCACACGTCAACTCTTTAATTACGACCTACATGATTAATTAAAGAGGTTTTTACCTGTATGCCATTAAGAAAGATGATGCATGTCTCTGTACCACTTAAAAGTTCGAGCCTTCCTATATGCCATCGGCGAGCTTTATTGCGCCCTCCACACCATTCTGTCGCTATTCTGTGTGGGTTTAACCGTTTGGCAAATCTGACATATGGGCCCGGGTAGGAAAAATGTCGCTCTTGCCCTTTCAAAAGAGGACAGGCGGCACGGCGGACAAGCGGCCAGGCGCGGCGCTGAGTCAGGCGACCGGCGCGGCGGAAAAGCGGCCAGCCACAATGCTGAGGCAGGCGACCGCGCGAGGCGGCCAGGCGGCGCCAGCGGCCAGGCGGCGTCGGCAGCCAGCCGAGGCGGCGCGGCGCGGCGACCAGGAGGGGTGGGGTGGCGCGGCGGCAAGGCCGCCGCCGTAGGGAATGATGGCCACCGCCACCTCCATCCACGCCGCCCACCACACTCAATCCACTCCACAGCCAAATCGAAATCTCACCCCGTCCTCCAAGCCGACGACTCCCTCCCCGTCCGCCCGTGGCATCGGCGGCATCCGCCACCTACAACTCCCTCCGCGCCACCATCGAGCTCCACTTCCGCAAGCTCAACGCCATGAAGGCCGGCTCCTCCTCCTCCTCCTTTGCCGGCGACGGCGCCTCCGGATCATCCCAGCCCACGGGCTCCTCCTCGTCGCGGACCAAGAAGATGGACGAGGAGCGGCGGCGTCCGGGGAGGGATCCCTCCTCCCGCCGATCCGGGTGTCAGAGTGGGCTGGCGGGTAAGAGATGAGGAGGAGCAGCGGTGGCGGCGGCGGCCGCACGGCAGCTACCTCCTCCTCTCCTTCTCCGTGCTCGCCATCGTGGACCGGCTCGTCGACTTCCCACTGCTCTCGTTCACTATCCAGACGGACGCCCTCGAGCACGCCACCATGTACCTCCACCTAGCCATGTACGCGTCCGTGGCGCTCGCCGCCGACAGTGTTGCGTCCTCCCACAACATCGGCGCGCAGGCGCTGCTTGTGGACGTGGTGGCCGCGCTCGTCACGTCGGTGCTCGGCCAGGAGCTGTTCCCCTCCTCCCCCTTCCTCGGCGCCTTGGGGACGAACGAACGAACACGTTGGCAAGAACGCCTAATGGCAACTAAGTCATTTAGATGCGCTGTTTTCTACCGTTAGGACAAAAAGGACGGAATGGTGTGTAGGGCGCTATAAAGTTCGACGATGGCATAGAGGGAGGCTCGAACTTTTCAGTGGCACAGAGGCCAGCATCATCTTTCTTAATGGCATACGGGTAATAACCTCTTAATTAAATTCTGAAAATAATTTTCATATGTACAACGTGCGTTCATCTACTGTCCCACAAAATTTCCAGTCCAGTGACAGTTGGATGTTGAGTGACAGAACATGTGCTGCAAAACTTTTCAGGCGTCCTCCCTTTAGGGATTAAAAGAGTTTCGAAATAAATCAGCTCATAGGGGTACTTGCACAAGTGCATATGTAGGCACCAAACTAGGTTAATTTATTACCTGAATTACTCTACAACTTATATGTATTTTATACAAAGCAGCTACACTGATACAAATCTACTCTGTTATACTGAATTTTCTTCAATTCAATGCCAGGGTGTTATCAGCAAAGAAAAGCTTGACTCCTTCTACATTCCCTTGTGCTGCCCTATGGACAGTGAAGTTAACAACATCATAGAGGAGGAGGGTTCATTTGAGGTCAACAAGATGATGATGCACGATCCGTATGACGGCACGGGCAAAGCCTTGCTCGATCTGAAGATGGTAGCCTTGCGCGTAAGAGCTGTATTTGAGCCAATAATAGTGCAGCATTTTGCAGCGTCAGATGAAATCATGGACGACTTCGTCAGAGCAGTGGAGCGGCACTTGATCAGTTCAGGGGCTCTGGAAGCTAGGCTGTCCGGCCAACACCCATTTGCCTTCTTGTGTTTGTCTCTTACTAGAGCGATGTGATGAGACAGACGGGTGATAGATAATACGGTGATACCCTGCACCTTACGGTAGGATTGCTATGTAATGTACTACTAACTTTTACTTTTTCCATCTCACAAAGACTCTATTTTTTAGTTTTTTAATATAAGGTTTGACTCTTCATCTTATTTAAAATTTTATATGGTTAGCACTTTTATTATTATTAGATGATAAAACATTAATAGTACTTTGTTTGTGTGTATTTATTTTTTATTTTTTTAAATAAGACGTGCAGTCAAAAATTGGACATAAAACTCAAAGGTAAAGTCTTTGTGGGACGGAGGGTGTAATACGAAACTCTCTGTGAACAATGGAGCAAGAGAAAAAGGGATATTAATTATTGACAACTATATAAGATCACGCAACAGGTTTGCCAATAAATCAGTAGTGGAGAGATCAAGTAATCAAGTTTCAGTGGAGAGATAAATCTGATGGACAATGTAAAGAACAGATAAAATTATTGGCCAAGATTTACAGTGTCAAAAGTACAAGGCTGCAGGATAATTGATCGAAAAGCCGGGTTTATTATTACATATTTATCAAGGAACAAAATTGTTGGTTATTATTATCAAACGAGAGGAAGGGAATCGAGAAGAGGAAGGAGCTCCCCATCCATGGTTCGATAGACTCGAGTGAGTCAAGGAAATAGAACTGGTTAATTAATTGGATTCATGCCATTATAAATTTGCTAGTTCGAAAAAATACCATTATTATTATTTGTACAACTGTAACATTTTTAAAATTGGATCCATAACATGCCGTACACTTGATACACATTTTGAATCATTTCTTATCCACTGTATTTATATATGGACCCAAATATCCGTATCTTCTACAGCTCAAAAACTGTGGTTAAATTTCGGTAAACATAGTTATACATACAAGGGAAAAAGGGGGAAATTGGTAAAAGAAATTTAGAAAATGGAAAAATAATAAAAAAGAAAGGGCGGTGGAGCGGTCGCTATCCATGATGACTACCCGAGCCGGCCATCCCATCCCCACCGTCGTTGGCATCGACGGCTTTTAACTATTTACCACTTTTAGATTTGGCAAACAACTATTTGCCATCTCTATCTCAATGACATGTGGGTCCACATGTATTTATTACATGTGGCTTCAGTGGCAAAAAGTTAATTGTCACATCTAAATGTGGCAAATGGTTAAATATTTCTCTCTGCTAAGCTCATTGTTGTTGTCGGACCATGCAGTGCAGCTACGCTTCTTGTCACCGTTGGCCATGTCACCTCTGTCAGACCGCACGTCGTAGCTCAACACCAGACCCGATACCGTCGTCTCCACTAGATCTGCTTGAGCTGAGCTCACCGCCACCGGTGCTGGATCAGCTCGGATAGCACGCAAGTTGGCGCTAAGGTCATCGTCGTCGCCAGGCCGCGCATCGCTACTGCCGGGATTTGGGGAATTTGGAGCTTCGGTTGCTGGGATTTGGGTCTATGGTTAAGAGAGGATTGGCAGGAGTACAAAAAAAAATATTACACAAAAAAGATTCAAAACATGTATCAAGTGTATAACATGGCATAGATCTAATTTCACGAGTGTTGCAATGGAATGGTTATAAATAGAGAATTGTAACTAGTAAGCTATATTTTCCAAAGTAGTAAATTTATTGTGGCATGTATCCAATAATCTTTTTTTTTTGAGACGATGTATCCAATAATCTGATTCACTTGAGATGGCCAAAACTGTCCTGATTATGTTGCTCAACATTAAGGATGCACTTATATAGAAAGAAAAAGGATTATGCTTAATTACATGTATAAGTGTAACTATAAATTTTTAGTCATACGAATGAAAACTGAAGGTACATAAATATTCGTATGACTTATATGTACGTATTAGTTTGTACCAATATAGTGATAATATGTTGCTGGTGCTATTGTTAAAAATTTTGATTCAGCACACAAAAGAAATTATGTACTTTTTGTTGGGAAACAGAGATACAATGTGGCTCTGATCTAAAGGATACTTGAATTTCATTGTAATTTTATACTCAATCATATGTATTATGAAAATATAGCTCCACTAAGTTGAGACGAAAGCAATGTTAAATGTCTTCTTTTCCCTTCTTCGTTTCCAAGCCAACACGTGTACCATATATGTTTGTGATCAGTTGCATCTAATCATCACAGAAACCGTTGGATAGTTTAAAGATGGTAATAATATAACATCGTTTGCAGAAGCTTGTTGGACTGATCTAGGAGTACTTAGCACTTCCTTGGCACCACAAACGACAGATACTTCTAAGACGGTCACAGGGCACCAATCTGGCAGGACTATTCCTGAACTTAATTAATTAGGAGTATCTTTTAAACACTAAAAATCGGTTGCTTTCATGGGGCCCTTGCGTGGGTAGGGATCTAGCCCCAGCCCATCAGTTACTTTTCATCACGAGCTGTGTTATACATCCGACTCAACTGTCATATACTCCCTCCGTCCCAAAATAAATGTAGTTCTAGCACGGTTCATATCTAACATTTGACCGTTCGTGTTATTTGAAAAAAAAATATGATCAGTATTTTACTGTTATTAGATAATAAAACATGAATAGTACTTTAAGTGTAACTATTTTTTTATTTTTTTAAAATTTTTTTAAATAAGACGGATGATCAAAACGCTAAACACGGATATCTATAGCTGCACTTATTTTTGAACGGATGTAGTATATATGATCACGTGCCCAACAAAATAATCACAGATCTCATTACCAATCAAATGAACCTAGTCAAAAACAAGTTTATATGTGTCGTATGTTGGTAGGACAGGACAGGCACGATCGTATGCCCAAGCCCAACAAAATAATTACTCCCTCCGTCCCAAAATAAGTGTAGTTTTGCACTATTCATGTTCAACGTTTGACCGTCCGTCTTATTTGAAAATTTTTTATGATTATTATTTTTATTGCTATTAGATGATAAAACATGAATAGTACTTTATGTGTGACTAAATGTTTTTAATTTTTTCATAAATTTTTCAAATAAGACGGACGGTCAAACGTTGAACATGAATAGTGCAAAACTGCACTTATTTTGGGACGGAGGTAGTACCACTCAAACGAACCTAGTCAAAAACAAGTTTATATGTGTTGTACGTAGGTAGGACAGCCTGGACAGGACAGGCACGACCGTATGTATAGTCATTCTCTTTCCTCAAACAAGTCCTAAACTAGTTGTAGCGAATTTTTAATTTCCATATGTAAATTATTACTAGCATATCATCTGTACGTTGTAATGAAATTTTAATTAGAGAAAATTATTATTAAATCGTTTATCATTATTTTCTATATACATAACCTCTTAATATATATTCACTTCATTCTAAATTAGACATATTCTATATGTTTAGATTTGTAGTACAATATGATATCAAATCTAGCACTAAGATTGTTATATTTTAAAATAGAGGTATCTTATATATATATATATATATATATATATATATATATATATATATATATATATATATATATATATATATATGTATGTATATATATATATATATATATGTATATATATATATATGTATATATATATATAGTATTTGTTACTGAAAATGTGGATGTTTTGATCTTACATAATTTTTTTCTTTCCAATAAATGTATATATATCTCTACTATTATAAAAATTGAAGATGTTTTTACCAGTACTTTGGTACGTTATTTGTGTACGAGTCGATTTTTAAGTTCGTTCGCTTTTGAAAATACATATCCATATTTGAGACAGTTTTTAAGTTTGTTCACTTTTAGAAACACAAATGGAGTCGTATAAGAAATATCTTTAAAAAAAACTCGCATGCTAACTTGAGATGATTAGACTCCTAACCGCAGCTCATAATTTTCTGAAGAAATATATATCCACGCGAATTCCCACAGTGAATTTTCACCTTAACTAAACCGTATAACAGTAATAAGATTAAAATAGCCTTCACTCATTACAACACACGGGTATTTTTTTTTACAGTATAATTAAATGAACGAAGATTGTGATTGATTAAGAAAATAAGGTAGGTGGAAAACTTTAGTGGTTTATGTTTGTGATTGATTGAAAAGAAAATATAGGTATAAATTGTTGTTTTATAGGAAAAATTTTAGAAGCTATAAGTTGTTATATTTTGGAACGGATGAAGTAGTGCTACATGAAGAGTTGGTGTGTGATGAGGGTGGTTGACAGATTTACCACTTTCCACCACCATCACTATTCTTTTTAAAAGAGCACATTTTTAAATGATATAGATCAGCATTTCACCGGCACGTACTTGCAGAAGGGTATAGAGCACTGAGTACTTAGCTTGGGCTTAGCAACTATCCGCTGCAGCGTTGATACGTAGTAGCATTAATGTTTTTTTTTAAAAAAAAACTAGCATCATAAATTAACAAACAGAAGGTGTGAAATCCCAGGATCCCAAGGGCAGACCGTCAACTCGTCTGGTTAAAACAAATCAGATCACCGAACCATCAGCAAAGAGAAGGAACTAACACAATATGAATTGACAGAGAATCTCGTTGTCGCAGAACATGTGAAGCCGTGAACGATTCCATGGAACCAGCTGATGGCGCTATTCTACGTACGAATGGGAACTTCACGCATGTGTACGTTTTGGATTAGCTAGTGCATCTGCCTGTGATTAATTAGGATGTCATCTTCCCGTGACATCCTAATCATATGTTTGTTTTACTCGTATAAATTACTACCCTCAGTCCCACAATATAAAAAGTTTTAAAGTTAAACACAGTTATTAAGAAAGGTATATTTAAATGAGAAGATGTTATAATTAGTTGAGAAGTGAAGGTAGGTGAGAAAAGTAAATGATGGAGGGTTGTGATTGGCTGGAAAAAAATATTGGTGAAAAAATTATTATATTTTAACATAAATTCTAAGTATTAAAAGTTATTATATTTTATAATGGAGGGAGCATCGAATTTCAAATCAAGGTAGTCCCGTCTCAAACACGTGGATACAGGGGTGAGCCAAGTTTACTCCCTCCGTATGTTTCCATTTTATATTATTAGGCTTTTTTATTTTTTAAAAAACAAACTTTTTTAAATTTAATTAAATTTTTGAAAAAACATATTAATATTTTTGGCAGAAATTTTTTTTAAAAATATATTTAATATTAGATTGAGATTTTTGAGGTAAATAAATTCAATTATTATGTCGTAAATATTGCTATGTCTTTTATAAATATGGTTAAACTTAGAGAAATTTAATAATATAAAATGGGGGGGGGAGTAGTCCGTGTATCAGGGCATCCTCAATGTAAATGTAACAATGGGTAGTAACGGTGGGGCCGAGTGCAGGAAGTTATAGCTATGACAAACTCCATAATGGTTAAAACCTATGAGAGGAAATAATATGGGTCCCATATAGTCAAAAAATAATGCTTCTTTGAACTTTTTCTCTCAACGAATGAACTAACTCCCTCCTGTGTGTAGTACTTTTATTGTTTTTTTTCCTCTTATGACCAAGCCATAAGCTTATGGTGAACTTTAGCATTTAATGGCCTATTGCTATGTTCCACAACGTTTAAGGCTAGCCACAAGCTGCCAACTCATCCTTATGACCCTTCTTATGTTTACATTGTGGTTGCCCTCGTAACTTTGGTGCATTATTATGAAGGGATGTCGACTTGTCTTGATGACAATATAATGAAATGATTAATAACGACGTGCTGGGAATTAATTTTGCACTTAGACAGTATGCTTGACACATGTGTGTCCATGTTCCTGAAAGTTCGTGTGGACTATGGTCTGATTTCATTTTTCTGATTAATCTGACCAATTAATGCATTAATGATAATGCATTTTGGTTCTTAATTTACCGTTCTGTCCGTACCAACAGCAATTTGGTAGGTTATGACATTGATTTGTGGTTATAAGTTGGTTGTAATCCAAATTCGGCCAAAGAATCGAGTTACCAATGGATTAATTGGCTTGGCACATTTTATAATTATTAAGCAGCAATCCGAAATGACCCTTGGATCCATTAAGAGTTGTTGTCCTACATTAAATCCACTATGAATTTAGTTAGTCATATTATAAATTCTACTGAGTTACAGCAACATGTGTTGCATGCCTAGGAATACATATCAGTCATCTATATTCAAATACAACATGTGTCGATCGATGGCTGCATCTACATATACTTATATAAGTAAGAGTAATAATATAACTAGTCGTCCAAGAGTGTTTTCAAATGTGGCGTCGCGGTCGCTGCGTCTACCCGGTGCACCGTGCGACAAAAAGCCTACTGACGAGTTTCTTTTTATTACTCACCAATGCCAACTTGCTAATTTTCTACTGCCTAGCCTACTAATCAGTGTACTTTGAACTGCTAAATTCTGTCAAACTGCCAGTCATGATTAGCCTACCGACCAGCCATGATTACTATCTACTGCCTAGCCTACTGCATGTGAACATAGATATGAAAAAATATGTCTTACCCTTCTTCTTCTTGGTACCACTCATGGTTATCGTGGAGACCAACAAACACACAGGCTCATTGTTCGTCGTCTTCTTGAGCATCTGGATCCATATCCACTGGGAACAGAAACACGCCCTCATCATATTATAAATCCTACTGAGTTACAGCAACACATGTGTTGCATGCCTAGGAATACATATGAGTCAGGTTCATATATATTCAAATACAACACGTGTCGATCGATGGTTGCATCTGCATGTACTTATATGAGTAAGAGTAATATAACTAGTCGTCCAAGAGTGTTTTCAAATGTGGCGTCGCGGTCGCTGCGTCTAACCGGCGCACCGCGCGGCAAAAAGCCTACTGACCAGTTTCTTTTTATTACCTGCCATTGGTGTGTCTTACCCTTTTTCTTGGATAATTCGTGACAAACTGCCACTTATGGTTATCGTGGAGACCAACAAACACGTAGACTTATTGTTCGTCTTCTTCTTCAGCATCTGGATCCATATTGGGAACAGACACACACCCTCTACCAACATCCCAAAAGCAGATCATTAAGACATACAGATAGAAAAATAGAGGAGACAAAAAAACCTAATAGAGAGCAGCATACCACACGGAGGCTATCTGGTCAAAATCATTAGGATTAGACATAATACAAAACATCTACCGAACATTCATGTCTTTGGTAACTCCCTTAAATCTCACAATGTACCCTTTTTCTTGGATAATTCCTGACAAACTGCCACTTATAGTTAGAAAAATAGAGGAGAAAAAAAAGAGAAACTAATAGAGAGAAGCATACCACACTGAGGCTATCATTATCGGGAAGCAGATCAAAATCATTAGGATTAGACATAATACAAAACATCTGCCGAACAATCATGTCTTTGGTAACTCCCTTAAATCTCACAATGTAGCGATTGAAATCTAACAGGAAAAAACACAAATTGTATGGTTAAGATGTTTTCTTGAAAGATTATAAGAGAATGAGAAACATACTATCTAGATCAAATTGTATGGTTAAGATGTTTTCTTGAAATATTATAAGAGAATGAGAAACATACTATCTAGATGCAGGCCATGGATGTCGGCACCGTTGTACGGTGGACCTCCACATCCACCTAGTCTACCACCCTACCACCAAGCCACCTCCTCTAGCACCCTACCACCAAGCATAATCATTCAGCACACCCAGAATGTAATAGTTACCAGCAATGGGAACTCCACCAACAAGTAATGTATCAATATCAAACAATCATACCTCTTTATCAAACCCTTAAAGGTAAAAATCATCGCCAAGTTTCCCAACCATCTCGTGTATGAATTTTTATGACTCCATGCATACTGGTCATGCATACATAAACTCTAAAATATAAAAAGACAACAGCAGCTGTACTACTGGTAGCTAGCACACTGCATTTTATATTATATAGTATATTCTTAAACAAACAGTCTTACTTGCATTAAATCTCACATTAGTGGTAGAAGATCACCTCCTATTTCCTAATACTAACGTCATGCATTGCCAATTTGCCATGTGTGCTACTGCATTAGGCATTAGAAAAGACCAAATAAGGAACAACCTAACAGTTTATATCGCTTCTTCAGCCTGAATATAAAAGTACTTGCTACAAGTGCCACATCATTTTATACATAAATTTTGATAAATCCAAACAAGTAAAAGAAATTTTGAGATTTATCAGAATTAATTGATTCAAATATATTTTCTTATGAATTTGAATTTTTGAAAGATCAAGCATTTAGTACATTTAGAGTTTTTAACATATCCTGTGTAAAAAAAAAACACAATCATTTTTTAGCTAAGTAGGTTTGATGATATAAGAAAACAAGGCTGAGTAGGTATGATGATATAAGAAAATAAGGTTGTCTTCTTTCTTTGTTTGTTTTGCATATTTTTTTGGTATTATAATTTTGGGTTTACTATATATTCTAGAGTTACATGAGTAGTACCAAGTAGGCGTATGATACTTAAAGAAGGAAAATGAATGTAAATTCGCTATTTTAGATTTTTTTTTTCTTAATAATTTTGGGTTTAAAGAGTTATATGAGTAGTACCAAGTAGGGGTGGTATATTTATAGAAGGTAAAGGAGTAAAAGTTCATGTGGTTGGAAAGGGAAGATAGTTTTGGAAGCCTCTGGAATCCATATGTGATATTTTTCTCTAGATTTTTTCTCACATATGATTATTAGGTATTTTTTTCTCTAGTATAGATTTATGATTTTTCTCCAAAGTAAGAGGCACCAAGTGAACCAATCAAAAGCTATCAAAAGAGCAGCTTTAGATTATTAGATTAGTTGCTTTTATAGTGAATATAATTTTAAGGAGGCGATATGATAACAGATACTTAAAAATAAACTCACTCTGCTATAATTTAATTTATTACTAGGTTTGCAGGAGTCTGAACGCATGTTTTGGGTTAACACTCAAGTCTGAACTTATAAGACATATTTGTCAAGTTAAAAAACTTTAGTTCCGAAAAAAATGAAGGGAACAAATGTTTTTGACCCTAAATTTGAAAAGAAAAAATAAAATTTTCAAATGACTGCAATCAAAATTTATAGAAATTTCATAAGAGAAATTACACAAATAACCATTTTTTTATTATATATGCTTCTTATATTAAAAGAATTAAATCAACTCGAACCAAATTTGAAGAAAATTCTACAAAAACACACACACACAGCATGCACTGAAACTGGCATTCAATATTACATTGAATTTGATTCAAAAACATGAAAATTTAAAATTTGCAGTCAAATGATTCTATATACATATAACCTACTATATTTTTAGAATTGAAATTGATCTGATGTTGAGAATGATGTTCTTTTAAGCTTCCGCTTATTTAAGTGCAAGGGGAAAATATATTCATTATATAATTCATACATTAAACAGAAACTGTTAAAAGTTTCCACATTAATAAGAAAAAATATCACATCCATCGAGTTGATTTTAGTCCCCAATTAGTATGTTGAGTTCCGTTCAAGTTCTATATACTCCCTCCGTTTCACAATGTAAGTTATTCTACCATTTCCCATATTCATATTGATGTTAATAAATCTAGACATATATATCTATATAGATTCATTAACATCAATATAAATGTGGGAAATTTTATAATGACTTACACTGTGAAACAAAGGAAGTACATATTTCTATCCAAAGTGCACAATATGGTTAACAAAGCAAATAATCAAACCAACGTACATGCAGTGCACTCTGAGTTGGTCTCACAAAATCTTGAAGAAACCTAAAAACATATATATACGTTACATTACCTGGTTAGAATCTACTCCCTTTATTCCATAATCAATGTAGCTAATTCTAACATTCAAATTTTATTTCAAAATAAAACTACTTTTCTACCTAGTTTAATCTTTTCTTAACCAATCACAACCATCTTTCATTTAATTTTTCTTCCTGCTTTCTCATGCCACTAATTCCCTATTTAATTTTACTTTTCTCTTAATCCTGTGTGAAATACTCTACATATCAAAAAAGTATGCTTGATACAAATTAAATTACCCGTATGCGCATGGGGATGCACGGGTTGATGCAAATTTGCCAAGTAGTACAATATAATAATAGAAGATGCTCGCCCCATCTCTCTATAAAACGGGCCATATGGAGGAGTTTGAGAGCAGGAAATCTAATAGGGTCAAACAGCCATACACAGCCAGTGCCATATGGAGATAGAGCGAGCCCTACACATGGTTGGAGGCGATGGAAATGACAGCTATGCCACTAATTCCAGGCTACCTGTAGTTCTCTGCTCAATTCCATACATATATACGCTTGCTAGTTTGTTGATCTAGCTCTTATTCATTTTACTGTTCGATGATCTGCAGATGAAGGCCATCATGGAGACCAAGCCAGTGCTCTGCAAGGCAATAGAGGGGGTTTTTGCGTCCCTATCCTCTCCAGCTCCGGCGAAGATCGTCATCGCTGACCTCGGCTGCTCGTCGGGTCCCAACACGCTGCTAGTCGTGTCGGGAGTGATCAGCATGATCTCCACTAGTGGCTACCCGGAAAAGACGGAACTACAGTTCTTCCTTAATGACCTACCTGGCAATGACTTTAACTACGTCTTCCGGTCGCTGCAGCAGCTCAAGCAGCTTGCTGACCGGAAGGAGAGATTGTTGGAGCCACCATACTACATCGCTGGTCTACCAGGATCGTTCTACACTAGGCTCTTCCCTTGCCAGAGTGTCCACCTCTTCCACTGTTCCTACGCCCTCATGTGGCGCTCCAAGGTACACACTGCATATGATCAAATTATCCCAAAATTGACAAAAAAAAATGCAAGAGGAAATCCGATCGCCTATAAGACTGCACAACATTTTTTTCTCACCGGAAGGGGACCCCTACACACAACTACACAAACATAGCATGTATATGACAAATTAAATGTAGCTAAACGTGCAGTCTTCACAAATTTGAAATCGTTTGAGATCGTTTACCTAGCCAAATATATTTATTATAAACTCTCATATCAATTTTTTTTTTGAAAATAAGGTATTTTTACAGGCGGTTCTGTATGATGTCCAAACTTTGAAAATTCATAGAAAACCCATTTTAAATCTGATTGAGGACTTGAACCATAGTTAAGATAGTTGTTTTAGGGACATAAAGTCTCCCATAGTTTTGAAATGCTGTATAACTGGTAAGTAGCCTACACGTGAATGAGAGGATATCGGTTTGAATTCTATATTTCGCATGAAAAATCGTGCGATTTGTGAGTAATTATTGCTGTATAAATGCTCACTAAGTTATAAATATTTTTTAGGTTTTTCCCATGAAAATGAAAAATCAGAAATTTTCACAAGCAGTTGTGGATCCACTTGTACAGGTGGTTAATAATATATTTATTATAGATCCGCCTATATAAATCAGTTATCAACTACCTCCACAAATGGTTTTCCTGGTAGTGATATGTAATATTTGTCTTTTTATATTGATATTATATAAATCAATGATCAGCATTACATTATAATCCTCCCTGAAAAAAATCCATGGTGAAAGGTCCCTAAAGAGCTCTCAAGTGGCGTCCATCTGAATAAAGGCAACATCTGCATCGGGAAGGCTACGCCATCACATGTCGTCAAATTGTTCCAGAAGAAGTTCAAAGAGGACTTCTCACTGTTCCTCGCACTTCGCTCAGAGGAACTCGTAAGTGGCGGCTGCATGGTGCTAACATTCCTAGGCCGAAAGAGCTCAGAAATGCTGGCGCATGGCGACGTCGACACCATGTGGGAATTACTTGCCGAAGCTCTCCAAATTTTGGTCCAAAAGGTATTTAGCATAGTTTCCCCTCCTACTTTTTATTTGACGCCGGAAGATCTAAACTTAATTGTCTCAATGTCAAATAAAGACAGAATCAAGTATTAGGGACTTCTTTGGAGCGCATGCACAAATCATGTGCAGTTTATTTCATAAATATTTAGTTCAAATTCACTACTAGAAAAAAATATTTTGCAGACAGCCAAAACACATTTTTCAGGCAGCCATAACCTCTGCATGTACCTACAGGCTTGCGAAAATTAATAATTTTTTGCAGGCGGTGGAAAATTAGATCCCTCTCTATATAACTTCGTAGTCAGATATTCACAGCTAAAAATAAGATCCTCCTGTAAAATTTATAAACCTCGCTGTGAAAAATCGTTTTTTCTAGCCATGCTACTTTCGTTCAAACCCGTTCAGAATTCCTTCACTTGAAATTACTCCCTCCATCCCAAAATATTTGATGCCGTTGACTTTTTAAAAAATGTTTGACAGTTCGTCTTATTCAATTTTTTAAGTAATTATTAATTTTTTTCCTATCATTTGATTTATTGTTAAATATATTTTTATGTATACATGTAGTTTTACACATTTCACAAACGTTTTTGAATAAGACGAACGGTCAAACATGTTTAAAAAAGTCAGGGCGTCAAACATTTAGAAAAGGAGGGAGTATATAAGGAGGTGTAATCTTGTGCCAACAGGGGCGCGTGAAGGAAGAGGATCTGACCACCTTCAACCTGCCGTTCTACGCGCCATCGGTGGACGAGGTGACTGAGCTGATAGAGGAGAGTGGCCTCTTCGACGTCGAGCACACGGGCGTCTTCGAGTCGAGTTGGGACCCCCACGACGACTCCAAGTCCAACGGCGATGCGGTGGCCGACTGCGCCCGCAGCGCCGACAGCATCGCGAACTGCAGCATCAGGGCCGTCATCAAGCCGCTCATCACGGACCACTTCGGGGAGTCCATCGTTGACGAGCTCTTCCAGGTGTATGTCCCCCTTGTTGCCAAGCATCTTGAGAAAGGAAGGGCTATGTACCCTGTCATTGTTGTCTCCCTGAAGGGAAGGCTCTAAAAACTGGACACACCGGCCGGTAGCCCCTATAGTGTGCTATTCTTATGAACCTATATATATGTAATGTATGTTTTAGTCATATATTTTTCTTAATGATGTTTAGACCAGGGATTGTATTTACTCCTTGTGTCACACTCCTGCAGATACTAATCTTACCACTTAAGTTGTCCATCAACCTCGCTCCTTCCTCATGTTGCACACAATCTACAACCACCACCGTCTCCCACGAAAAACAAAACTAAGGACCTGTTTAGCGAGTTTCTAACAACTGCAGCGTCTCCCACTCCATAAACAGTTGGAGCTCATGCTTTCTGCGTGATCGGCTCCCACCCCAGATTCATTCCCAGTAGCATAGCTCATAAAAAGTAAATTTCCATAAAACACATAGACCATCTTTGTACTCTATAGCTTATAAAAGTCAAAAGATCTATGCCTAAACCAACTCGCAATTTTTTTTCTTTTGAAAGCCATAAGACTCTCCTAGTTTTCTTTTCTCATAAAGGGGAGACGGGACTCAACAATTAAACATAACGCTTCAAAACCACTGGCTTATAGGCTATTCATAGTGCATCTACGTGGCATTTATAGCCTCAACTCTCCAGCTAGGCAGATTGCATGTGTGGAGGAGATGAGGGGGTGGGGCCCATGTCTTCACCAGGTTCGCGCCGGCCTTGTTTGGCTCCGAGAACCTCATCAGAAGAAAACAGCTTTTTCACTGAGAAAGAATCGCATTGACAACCATGGCGAGAAAGCAGGACAGAGAGAGAAGGGGGAGAAGCTCGCTAGAGAAGCCGCATATGCGCCGAGTCCGAGCTCCCGCGCCAACGGGGAGAGAGGAGGCACCACCACGGGGCTCGTCGCAGCCCCCACCTTCGCAACAGCCTCCGCTCGCTGCGCCCCTCGATCTGCACCCACCGGAGCTTGCCAGCCATGCTACCCCCCAATCCACGACGATCTCCGCTCGCTGCCGGCCGTGCCGCCCCTCGATCCGCGGCGGCTAGAAGAGGAGGAAGGGAAGCGCTCGAGCTCCCACCGTCCCCTGCTACCGCGTCGCCGAGCTCCCATCGTCCCCCGCTATTGCGCTGCTGACCTCACCACTATTGCGCCGGCGAGCACCAAGACCCACCACTGCTCCGCCCGGCTGCCACGGCGCTGTCTCTGTCTGGGCCGCTGCTCCGCCTAGCTAGCTCCGTCGCCGCAGAGACCACCGCTTTGCCTGGCCGCCCCCGAGCGTGAGAGGAGAGAGAGCGGCGTCAGGTCGCTGCCGGTGCCTGAGCATGATAGGAGAGATAGGGGAAGGCGTGAGAGAGGGGGATAAGAAAGGAAGCGTGGATCTCGAGGAAAGGGAGATAGATGGGGAAAAGTGGAGAAAAAAAAAAGAAAATTTTATTTTTGTGGACGCCACGTGAGGTTGCTGCATTGTGAGCCTTGTGTCTATCACTGTTCCTTAGCACACGTGGCATCTGAGCTCTGGCAAATATTTGTGACGCATTGCTATTACCCTTTATAAACCATGTAAACCAAAAAGTCGGCTAAAAAGTATAATCCAATAAATCTAAACCCAGAGGACCTTAATATCCATGATAACATTTCTAGCTAAATAAATGAGAATAGTAAACATGTTCAAAGTGTATTGAATCCATCATAATTTTACTAGATGTGGGATTTTTTTAGAATAACCAAAGAAGGAAAATATATACTGTAAACCACATATATTTGTGGAAACTTAGAAATTACGATTGGATCTAAAAATGGATGCTTAAGATTTGTCTACATCATATTTTTACTACCGGTGATGTGGACAAAAATCTCAGGCATCTATCCAATAGTTTCTAAGTTTCTACTACTTGTATAGATTTCACCACATATTTTCCCATCCAAACACGTGATAACAATGCATACTTTTTCAAGTTTTTAGCTTTCAACTCAAATATTGATCTTATACCCACAGCCACTAAACTAGGAGGATATCTCCACAACATCGTACAGTGTGGGCATTGAATGTTTTAATTGGGCCAGTTCACTTATCTTCGGTATGCGGAATAAGTCCACTTACCGTCCTTCAACTTTATGTTGGGTTTGATTAACATCCGTTATTCTTAATACTAGAAATTTTAACTCCTAAACTATACAAAACCGGGTTTGATTAACATCCATTATCCTCAATACCAGAATATGTAACATCCATTATTTTATCTGCCACATATGCAGATTACGTATTCCCCTGTTTCGCTTATATGGCAGATGTCTAGCCTCACTTGTCAGTGTGAAAAGAGAAGTAGACCTTGAAGTCCAAACGGGGCCGAAGTGCGCGCGGATGTGGTGGCAGCTGGGGAGCTAGAAAGGCACCACAGGAGCTACCACTGGTGGAGGGCGCCGCCTAGGGAAGGAAGCGAAACACGCACCTGGAAGAGTGGCACTATGGATCGAGGACAGTTGGGTCGTCATGAACCATCTGGAGGATGAGAAGACGGCCGGCGGTGGGTACCTATCCCGACCTTGTGGATATTGAAGCGGAAGGCAAGGAGGGCCTCCAGGCAGGGTTTGAGAATGAAATTTCGGTTATTTCGGACCCCCCCCCCCCCCCACAACAACACACACATATTATTTTGGCCGGAAATTTATATTTTTTTTGTGAATTTGGTAATATTTTGTTCAAATTTAACCAACATTTGTTCAAAATTTCGGACCGAAATTTATTTTCTGAAATTGCGGTATATCGATGATCAACCTCCGATAGAATCGGCCAAACCGAAAAAATTAAACACTGCCTCCGCCCTCCAGGAGAGAGCTCTTTCCGTCCGACTGGTCGTCGATGGCCACAATCTCTGGGATCGGGAGCTTCTCGCCGTACACCATCACCGCCACCTGCAGCCGGTTGGAGCGGCGGCGATCGACGGCGGCAGCAACAACCACCATCGCGCTGGTCTGCGTAGGGTTCCTGACGCTCGTCGCGTCGGCGTGGCTGCACTGGTTGAATCAGAGGACACAAATTATCTGGATATACAGAGAAGAATTCAACATGCTTCGATTGACATTATTTGGGCCAATATCTATCTATCTATCTATACCTATACCTATACTAATTGAGCACTTTTTAGGAGAAAAATCTAACCATTGATTATGTAAGTAATTCAATCGAACCGTAGATGCAACAATGCTTTAACATCATGGGCCCATCTACCATTAACGTTGTGGGCTCTTTCCATAGCCCATCTCTGCTCTTATCTTCAGTCAAAGGAATAAGTTCACTTTTGGTCCCTCTATTTGTCGCCTAGTCTGATTTTTGTCCCTTGATCGCAAAACCGGATACGACAGGTCCCCCAACTTACGAAACCGTTTAAATAAGGTCCCCCGGTAGTATTTGACCCGATTTTAGCTAAGGTGGCGCCTACGTGGCTAATTTGACTCGGTCTTAATTTGACGTGGCGCTTACGTGGCAATTTGATCCGAAAAATAATAAAACCTATGGGACCCACATGTCAGTTTCACACACACAATAATAAAAAGTTGTGAGGCCCACGTGGACCCCACCTCTCATCCTCACTACCCTTCTCTCTATCCCCCTCTCTCTATCATCTTTCTCCCTCTTCTCTCTCCCACCGGAGCGGCAGGCCGAGCGATGTCGGCGGCGGAGCGACGGGGAGGAGTGGCCGCGGCCGGAGTGGGGCGGGAAGGAGCGGGCCGGGCACCCCGACGAGGAGGCCGAAGAACAGGAGGTGCGCGGCCACGGCGACGGAGGCGGCCGCCGCGGCGCCGCACGCCCGGGAGACCTTCCTGATGGCCCTCACCACCTTCAGCTTCCTCGCCGCCTTCCCGTGGCTCGACTTGATGGCATGGAGAATGGACGAGTACCTGTCGTGGATCTGCCGGAAGCTACTCCGCGTCGCCACGTCGCTGAACGGGTTGCTCCGCATGGCAGCGAGCGGCGCTGCCGCTGTCATCGCCGCGGCGCCATCGGTAGCGGCGACGCTGTCGGAGATGGTGGCGAGGAAGCTGTCCATGGACAGGTAGTTGCTCTACGTGTTCTTGATGTTCGTCAGCAGCTGCTTACAGATCTCCGACGCCTCGTCGCTGGCGTCGAAGTAGCCCGCCATCGCCAGCTCGATCTCCGACGACGTCCTCCGGTGCATCATTCGCTGCAATTCCGCGGGAACGACGCCTTCAGTGCAGCGTGCTGATGTACTCCTCAATGCTCATTGATTCCATGGCTGTGTTCCAATACAAACCAGAATTTCTCAGCATTATTGATGGCAAAATGAACTGACACACAATAACATATAAACAGATGACGAAAAGCTCAATGATCTATCTCTTTTTTTCTTCTCTACTGATCTCACCTTGGTGTGATGGGCACATGAATTGCCCTGATTCCAAAACTCAATTTCTTCGAGTTTCTTGATCTTCTGGGACAAGCACTGTTTGCTTTCTTGGAGTTCCTTGATCTTTTTGGGATAAGCACTGTTGAATTGCCTCTCTTATCCAGATGTGGCTTTGGGAGGCAGTCGGCGCGGATGGGCGGCTCCGGCTGCGTCGGCGGGAGCAGCGACGACGCCGGCGGCGGCAGCTAGGCATCGGCTCCGAGGTGGTCACGCGGTGCCTCGCCGGGCTTCTTGGGTCGCTGCCCCATCCTACCCGCCGGCGAGAGGCTGTCCTGGGAGAGGCTCAAGAAGGCGATATGCGACGGCGAGGCGCCGTCGTTGCCGGCGAGCGCGGAGGCATCGGCGGAGCTGTGCGGGTTCGCGAAGGTGACGACGGCGGCGGCGGTAGTCGCAAGGCCGGCGAGGCGGCGACGGTCCATGACGAGGTCGTTGATGCGGCTGCGGGAGCAATTTGACACGGCGGCCAAGAGGACGTACGTGCTGGGGCGTGACCTCGACACGGTGAGCCACCTGCCACCCCTCTGCTCCACTCGCCGCTCGCCGCCGCCCCTCTGCGCCGCCCGCCGCCGCTCGCCGCTCGCCATTCTCAGGGGAGAGAGAGAGGGGGATAGAGAGAGGATAGAGAATGAGAGGGGATAGAGAGAAGAGTAGTGAGTATGACAGATGGGGTCCACGTGGGCCCCACCATTTTTTATTATTGTGTGGGTGAAACTGACATGTGGGCTCTATAGGTTTTATTATTTTTGGAATCAAATTGCCACATAAGCGCGCCACCTCAGCCAAAACCGAGTCA